TTTTTTTTTTTTGGCTTTTCGAGACAGGGTTTCTCTGTGTAGCTTTGCGCCTGTCCTGGAACTCACTTGGTAGCCCAGGCTGGCCTCGAACTCACAGAGATCTGCCTGGCTCTGCCTCCCGAGTGCTGGGATTAAAGGCGTGCGCCACCACCGCCCGGCTCTCCCCATATTTTTAACAGTGCTTTTCAACCATCCAAATAGCAGAAAAACACTGCCGCTTCATTAAACTCAAGAGGGAATTAATTGGTCTTACTGGCTTAGGAAAGACCTCACTACCCAAACGACATGTTTGAGACTTGATTGGATTCTGTTAAACCAAATGTGAAAAGATTAAATGAGACAGTAGACAAACATGAAAATTTAAATTATAAAAAACTATGTATGAGTTAGGGTAATGGCAATGTATGTCTAAAATCTTACCTCTTACCTGTTCATAGGTAAATTATTGAAAGTATTTTCACATAAGATTTTTTTTCTTACACACGTATGGGTGTTTTGCTTGCATGTACGTACACTACGTGGATGCTTGGTACCACAGAGGTCAGAAGAGGACATTGGATCTCCCAGAATTGGAGTTATAGATGACTGTGAGCCGTCAGGTGGGTGGTGGGAAACACGTACCACGAGGTATATTATTTACCAAAATTTCCATAATAAACAAATCTCTCCCCACACATCATTTACAAAAGACTTGACTGAGGGGGATTCAAGCAGAACACAGAAGTAGGGGTACAGCAAGGGACCCTAAACTGCTAAGTAACATGGACACTCCTCTTTGATGAACATTTTAAGAGGCAGTATCACCAGAGGAGATCTTTCGACTAGCTGTTTCAGTGGCCTCATAGAGGTCCCGCCTTTAAAAAGCTTTTATTATTATTATTATTTTATGTGTTTAAGTGTTTATCTGCATGTGTATGTGTTCGCCCATCTATGCCTGTTGCTCGCAGAGGTCAAAGAAGGGAGTCAGCTCCCCTGGAACTGGAATCAGGGGTGATTGTGAACCATGTGGGTGCTGGGAATTGAACCCGGGTCCTATGCAAGAGCAGGAAGTGCTCTTACCCACTGAGCCAACTCTGTAGCCCCTCACATAAGATTTTAATAATCCAGTGGGTAAAAAAGAACAAGGGTTATAGATTAAATAACACAGTGACCATGTTGAGCATGGGGAATGCTTTATATAAGCATACTTCTGTGTTTGGAAATTTCCATCATAGAACATTAAATAACATTAAGCTGGGCACGGTAGCATATGCCTGTACTTCCAGCACTTGGGAGATAGACACAGAAAGATTCCCTCAAGTCTGAGGCCAACCTGGTCTATGACATATTTGTAGGAAGACGTCATGATGAAGCCCCTTTACTTTGACTGCTAACCTAAAAAAAAATAACTAAAAAGCAAAACCCAAAAAGCTGAAAAATATTCAGGGCTGGAGAGATGGCTCGGAGGTTAAGAGCACTTGCAGTTCTTGCAGAGGACCTGGATTTGGTCCCCGGCACTCACATGGTGGCTCACAACTGTCTGAAATTCTAGTTCCATGGGACCTGACACCCTTTTCAGACCTCCTAGAACACCAGGCATGTACATGGTGCACATCCACGCAGAGAAGACACTTACAAAATAAATCTTTAAAAAGGAAAAAAAATGAAAAATTGAACAGTAGAAGACAAGATTTTCTAATTTAATTGGTTTGATTCAAGCAGAAACTGATCCCCCCCACCACTCAGAACTTCTTGCTAGTTTACTTTTAATTAGTTGAGATTGTTTCTCTCATCTCATACAATATTAACTAAGCATATAGACATTTTATTATAAAGGAAATAGGCTTGGAGACATTTCCCATTAGGGACCTAACAAATGGTATATACTAGTTTAGTCCAGTAACAAAGCCAATTGAACAGTAATTTGGAGGCATCAGCTATTTATCATTTTCAAGGTCAGTTTAAGAGCAGAAGAAAATACCTAAGAACCCCCGGGTGGTGGTGGTGGTGGTGGTGGTGGTGGTGGTGGTGGTGGTGGTGGCACACGCCTTTGATCCCAGCACTAGGGAGGCAGAGGCAGGCAGAACTCTGTGAGTTTGAGGCCAGGCCTGGGCTACAGAGTGAGTTCCAGGAAAGGAGCAAAGCTACACAGAGAAACCCTGTCTCGAAAAACCAAAAAACAAAACAAAACTACCAAAGAACAAATATCCCAATATCCCCACACACAATTAAAGTATCATCAATTTCTATATTGTAGAGAGTGGGATTTTTAAATTCTGCATGTGGGAGGGCTAGGAAACCCAAAACCATCGGAGTGGCTACTTAGAAGAAAAGGATCATAATATAGAACTAGGCCCAGGAGTTGGGCTGAGGATCTACATCCCCCCACTTGCCATCTCCACGTAAATACTTGCCCCACACAGGCTGCTTTCAGAAGAAAGTCAGGATTAGATTAACCAGTATAAATAAATAGAGCAAGAAAAGCATATCTGCACTGATTCATACATATTATCGTATTTGAAGTTCGTATACCAGTAGCAGTGGAAATATATTATCTGGATTGTTTTTTTCTCTTTCAGTCTGTCAGAATCGTGAGAGGTAACAAGAATGCTTTCCAAATCCTTTCATGGCTTCCCAACTTTTTGTTGTTGTTGGGAATTCTGCATCACCGCCATCAGTTTCCACACATCCTGTCTGCCTCCAGATCAGTGAGCAGGCTGCATAAAATCCAGAGGTCCACGGTGCCTAACTCTTAATTTGATCTTTCAGCGGGGATTCGCTGAATTAAATTTGTGAGCGAACAAAAATCGACTTCTGGTAACACACACACACACACACACACACACACACACACACACACACACACACACACACACACACCAAGTTACCTTCCACAACAAGCCTCGGCTCTTTAATGTGAAAGATTCAAAGAATCGCAGGAAGAAAATTCGCCCGAAGTCTTCAGAAATTTAACTGTGTTCTGCCTGGGTTGGCTAAATGTTCGAGTGGTCAAAATCCCAGGGTTAAAAGATGTGAACACACGGAGAGCTCCCAGTCCTTGTCCTCGGGACGCGGAATTCCGCGTTGTGTGTTACGACATTCAAAGTTTCCTCCAGACCAGACCTAGATTCCCCTTGGCCTGCCACCAGCTGCTTAGTATACACCGCTATTCGGAAGTGTTCCCAACAGGTCGTGCAACAGGTGCAGAGCTGCACACCAGGCAAGGGGACCCAAACTTATCACTCTGGCGTTTTCTCTTTTTTTCCACCCAAACACGCTGCTCCCCGATAGGGTTGACACAAGCGTTTCATCAAAACTCGGTGCGCTCGCCTTCTACTTGCACCGATTTCTTAAAAAGACAGAACTCACACATTTACATACATTCCGGAAGTCTATCCCTAATGACAACCAGCTCCTCCGCCTGGCATGTCACTGACCGTACTCGGAGAGGAAGCCGGAGAAAGCGCTCACCCAGAAAACACCGCACTCAGTGTTTCGGTTTTTAATACCATCTGCACGGCTCCAATGCTTGTTAGTGGTGAAACCGAGTGAAAATACAATGCCGTGTGTGTGTGCACGTGTGTGTGCGTGTGTGTGTGTGTGTGTGTGTCCGCGCGCGCGCGCGGGCTCCCCATCCCGCGACCGAGCCAAGTGCTCGCTGGCGTCTGATGCTGAAGTGATTCGTGACCCCTGAAAACAGTCTCCTTAGGGTGCTTTTGGGAGGTGGGGACAGAGACAGTCTTGCAAGCTTGTCCCTTGTCCCTACACCAAACGCAAAGGTGCTCGGGGACCGTGTGTGTGTGTGTGTGTGGGGGGGGGGAGCAGCCCCGGCGAGCCACCCCGGCGCTGGTGTGTGTGTGTGGGGGGGGAAGGGGGCCCCCCAGCACGCGAGGCGGGGACTCGGCGTTTTCCAGGAGCCGAGGGCAGAGGGCGCACCGCCTACCTCGGCGGTCAAGCCCCCGGGGAGCTCCGTGAGCGGCCGGGAGGTTGAGCCGCCGCCGCCGCCGCCGCCGCCGCCGCCGCCGCCGCCGCCGCAGGTGGGGGGGGGGGGGGACGGGGACGGGGACGGGGGACGCTCGGCGGGAAGTCGCCGCGCATGCCCGGAGCGGCGGCGCCCGCTGCACCCTGGGTCGCCCTTAGTTCCCCCCCCGCCCCCAGCAAGGCCTCAACCCGGCCAGCAGCGCCCCGGGGGCCGCCGCGCTCGCTGTCGTCTCGGAGGCTCGCGAGGGAGGCGCTGGAAGCCGCCCGATGGAGGCCAGGTCGGTAACCCCGGGGGCCGAGCCAGCCGGGCCGGCGCTCCCGATCCCCCGTAGCGGGGGGGGGGGGGGGTGGTGGTTACGGAAACGACCGCCCCGGTGGCCCGGCCTCTCGGGGGAGCCCACCGTCAGACTTGGGGCGAAGCTGGGGGGGGGGGTAACAGGCTCGGCCATGCGGCCCCTTTAAGAGGGGGCGGGGCGCGGCCTGCCGTTTGGCCACCCGCCCTCCGCGCCCTCCCCCCCCCCCACCTCCCCCCCAACCCCGGGCGAGAGTTGACAGACCAATCGCCCGGGTGGCGCAGGGAAGGCGGGAGAATGCGAACCCTCCGGTAGGGCGATAGGGGGCGGGGCCCCGGCCTTATTAGGAGTGGGGGGGGGGGGCCTGCGCAGGCGCAGATGCGGCCGCTGGCGAAGGGGCGGGGCCAAGTCCACGGAGACTCCGCCAGGCACCGAGGCTGATAAGCGAGGAGAGGCGAGGGCAGCAGCGAGGGGCTTGTCACGGGGATCTGGGCAGGCCGGGCAGCCCCGGGAGGGTCTCGTGAGGGGGACCCGCCGAGGGGGGACAGCCAGTGTCACCACCGCTCGGGAGCCCCGGCGCCGTCGGCCGCGGAGGGGAAACCCCGCTGCTCTCACTCTCTCTCTCTTTCCTAGCGAGCGAGGGAGGGGGCCGGAGGGAGCCCCGGTCTCGCCCCGCCCCTGGGCTTGTTACCGCGGGGGCGGGGAGTGAGGGTTTCTTCTTTGGGGGGGGGGAGGAGAGAGTGGAGATCGGGGGGTGGTGGGGGGGACGACGACGACTCGGCGGTGCCCTCTCGAGCGGCGGCGGCGGCGGCGGCGGCCGTGTCCCCGCGGCGCCGGGCCGCCGAGCCTCGGAGGAGCGGCGGTCGTGGCTGTTGCATGTGTGGCTGCTGGATGCGGAGGCGGCGGCGGCGGCGGCGGCGAGGAGCAGCAGCAGCAGCGGCGGCGGCGGCAGGATGTTAGGGCAGCAGCAGCAGCAGCAGCAGCAGCAGCAGCAGCAGCAGCAGCAGCAGCTGTACTCGTCGGCCGCGCTCCTGACCGGAGAGCGGAGCCGGCTGCTCACCTGCTACGTGCAGGACTACCTGGAGTGTGTGGAGTCGCTGCCCCACGACATGCAGAGGAACGTGTCGGTGCTGCGGGAGCTGGACAACAAATACCAAGGTACTTTTTTTTTTTTTTTTTTTCTCTCTCTCTCTCCGGTGACAGTGTCCGTGAAGTGCAGCGAGCGATCTCTGGTGTGGTGGGACCGGGAGACGACGGGCCCGGGGCGGGGGGGGAAACTGCAGAAACCGGCCTCGCGGCCCTTCCCTGTCCCGGCTGCGGCTCACCGGGACTTCCGAGGGCCGCCCGTCAGCCTCCCCGCTGCAGCCCGGGCGGCTGGCTGCAGCTGCCGCCGACCGGGAATCAGCCATTTTAAGCGAGCATTTGTTCCGGTGCCCGCCGGCTGGCTGCCGCACGCCGTCCTGATCCCGGAGCTGGCGTGTGTGCAGCGGGGCGCGGGCTAGACTGGGTGCGGGGCCTGTTGGCCCCGGCCCCGCTGGGCCCCCCGTCCCTGGGCAGAGCAGATGCATTGGAACGTGCGGGGGAGGGGGGGGCCGAGAGGACGGGGCGAAGGTGGACTTAGGCGGCGGCCCCCCCCCCCCCCCGCTCCCTCCTTCCCTCCCTCCCGGCGGCTCCCGGCGTGGCGCGGGACTGGGACAGTCTGTGCTTCCCTCTCGCCCCGGGGAAAGTTCCGGGCCGCCCGGTGCCTCGGCCCTTCCTCAGCTCCTGCCAACTGGTTAAAGGGGGAGGGGTCCCCCCGCAGGGCCGGGCGGAGAGGGTGTGTGTGTGTGTGTGTCTGCTAATGTGTGAGTGTGAGTGTGTGTCTGTGTGTGTGTGTGGCGGGGAGGGCCCCGGTCTAGGGGCGGGGCCTGCGGGTGTGACGTCGTATGGGCGGGGCGCGCGCTCCCGCGGGCCTTGGCCGCGGCGGGCTGCTTGGCCTGAGCGGGCGGCTCGCGGGGGACCTGCTGGGGCGGGGCACTTAGATGGGCCTGGGCGGAGTCGGTGTCGGGGTGATGGTCTTTCCAATCTCTCCCAGCCAGTGAATCAAGGCACGGGCCCCCGCTGTGGGACTGTCGCCGACCCTGGCTCAGCGGAGGTTCCGGGCTATGTGTCACTTCCGGACCTCTGGAGGAAGTGGGTTCGTTGGCTGGGCAACCACCTGGCGTCCCTGCACCCTCGGGTTCCTCCTCCACCAAGTTTACACGAGGAGAAACGCTTTCGTGGTGGTGGTTTGTCGTCAAAGAAATTAGGACAGGGAATCATCACGAGGGACTGTCGGACCTTTCTGCTGCTGGGACAGGAGAAATTTAAATGGGGATGTGTTCGTCCTTTAGTAAATCCGAGTCAGGGAACAGCGGAGACCTAATGTGAACCGTAAAAACTTGTAGCCATTCTGTTTTTCCAGACATGTCACCAATCCTGTAACTTAATCCTGTAGTCCACCTCATGGTGACATTGTTTTAGCATGTTAGAACACTTAGGTGTCTCTGCCTACAATTCTGTTTTCTGAGTCTCTGGTAAGACTAATTTCTGTTGGGAGAAGACAGTACTGTTTCTGCAGTATGCCGGTATCTTCACCAGGTTCAAAACATAGGAGGTAAAAAAAAAAAATCACTTTTATAGATAAAATTTACAGCGCTAAAGTAACTATCCAGTTAATTGTGTGGAGAATATTTTATCTCAAAGCTGTCTACTTCAAGAACACATTTGTTTTCAAATTGTGTGGCTCCTCTCGTTCCTAAGTGATTGAATTCAAGACTTGAAGGATAGGAAGAGGATTTACCATTGTCCTAGAGGCTACCCCTACTCCCACCCTTTAAAAAAAAAAAGAGCATCATCTGTGGTTTTTTCCTGAAGACATGGGGGGCATACATGAATGGCAACCTAGCAGTGGGACATGTGCTTAAGAATTCTGTGCCAAAATTTGTAGTTTTCCTTATATTAACACTGTATTGTATTCTTGAAAGGCACAAAAATGAGACTATTTTAGGTTGGTTGTGACATAATTTTTTGACAAAAAAGTCTGTGATACCAGTTATCTGTAATTGTCATAAGTTGCTCAGGTAACATGAGTATTGGACCTTAAATACTGAAAAATTTGTACACACCATCAGCTTCATTGTGATTGTGACTAATTCCAAGATTAATATAAAAATAGTGGTCCAGCTTCTGCTCTATGAACATAGTTGCTAAGCTCAACTTCACAGTTTTATTTTTGTTAGATGCTTTGTATATGTTTGTGTTCTTGATTCAGATTTTATTTTCACTGATTCTTAAGTATTTTCTATTATGGGGGGCAGTGCTAATACAACAGCGCTGAGTGAGGGAGCCTATGAAGTTGCTCCCTCACCTATTGAGTCTTTCAGGAATTACTGATCAGTCCATTAAGTAGAGAAGTGAAGAAAAAAATCAAATTAAATATTCATTGCAGAATATGGCTATTAGAAAACCTTTATGGCATTTCATTCATAATTTTCTAGGAAAACAGCAACCTTTGAGCTAAAATGTAAAGTGTAATTCCAAGTGTCTTTCATATGGTGTATGGAAAGTGCTGTAAGATCAGATGTACAGATTTGGCAGTTCAAAGTTTGAGGTTCTTGAATTTTTTTTCTTTACCTCATATAAAAGTGATAGCATTCTTATTGGTTTACTCTGTAGAATTTTTTAAGTGCTGAACATTGAACCTAGGGTCTCACACATGTATGGCAAGCAGTCTGCCCGTGAATTATCCCCCAACCCCCTTTTTACTGTTTCTTTTGATAGAGGCACTCACTGAGTTGTCTAGGCTGGCCTTGAACTTGTGATCCTCCTGCCTCACTTTATCAAGTAGCTGGAATTACCAGCTGCCAGGCCCAGCAAGATGGAAAAAAAAAAATCTCTATCCCATAATGTGGGCTGAGTAAATGGTAATTCTTTTTTTCTTTCTTTTTTTTTTCTTTTATCTCATGGTACAATTAAGGTGTCTTTAAAATATAAATTTTTATCTCATTGCAGTGTCAGTGTGCAAGTATGACACAAGGAGCAGCTAACTCCTGATCATGAGATACAGAATATTTGAAATGAAGTTTAGGTTTTTGTATTCTTTAAATTATTTTGCATCTAGCAAAAAAATAGCTAATTGTTTTTTCCTGTAGGAAAACTGTGCTCTTAGGAGATGTACTTGTATACCTGCTTGAACAAAACAGGGTAGTTTTGAATTTTGTTCAGAAATAGGATGTGCACAGGCCAGCAAGATAGCTCAGTTGGTAAAGGTGCTGACAGCCCAGCCTGACGACCCGAGTTCAATCCCTGGAACTCACATGGTGGAAGAAGAGAACCGACTCCCACAAAGTGACCTCCATTATGAGTGCTGCAGCATGCATGAGTGCTTATACACACACACACACACACACACACACACACACACACACACACACACACACTGCTAAAAAGAATTCAAAGCTGTGGCATGTGAGTACTCTTGGGACCCTCAGCTGTAGTGGCAAAACTGTCCATCGAGTATTAGTACCTGCAATTTCCAGGGAGGAGGGAATCCATAGATGTGCTAATTATTTACTTTTGTTACCCGATTTCAGACAACCACTGTATGTATTTTACTTATTTAACATTTCTGCTCATTATAATAGTAACTGGAATATAAAACAGCGGTGTGGGATATAATAGTAATAACGTTGGAAGCTGAAACAGTGGTATGCTATGAAGTATTGGAAATTAGAGTTAATGTTTATGTTTTACCCCCAGCAAGACAGAACTCTTCGATATAGGCATTGTGTCTTATAAGGGTAAGACATCGAATAGATTTGAATAAAACTAAACTTAATTAGATTTTTGGTCATTGGTGACATTGAAAATTCTGGTGACTCAGCCATTGCTTGATTTAAAAGTGTCCAACTTTTTATGCAGTTGCATTAGCAGCTTCAACAAGCATAGACTCAGCTGCTGAGTTGGCTACAAAGGTAGAATGATCCAGTGCTGACTTCACTGTAGTTTTGGAGTGGCTTGCTCAGTGGATGCCAAGAACAGCAGCTCTACTCTGGAAATAGTTTTGATTTTCAGAATTTCCCCTGTGGTGCTAAAATGAAAGAGCCATTAAAACTAAGATGACAGGAAGCTAAGAGATGCTGATGTCTGCCTTTTGAAAGTGTCCAAGGATGTGAAAATTAAGGCAGTGTGTCTCTCTGGAGTCATGTACCAAATCACTGATTGAGCTGTAAGTCCTGTAAACACACAGGTGGTAATACTCTGTGGCTGAGTCTCAGAACCACCTCGAGTTTTATAGCTGGAGTTCAGCATGTAAATTTTGTGTATAGAGTAGTTTTGATGTTCAGATAAAGAATAGGCAATAAGGAACTCAGCAAATTCTAAATTAACATGTAATAGTCTTACTTACATAACACTTTGGATTATTAATTTACTACACGTCTGTGTGTGTGTGTGTGTGTGTGTGTGTGTGTGTGTGTGTGTGTGTGTGTGTGTGTTCTGTGAAGGCAGGAGATTGACATCCCACATCTTCCTTTACTGCCCTCCACCTTGTTTTTGGAGACAGGATCTCTCACTTAAGATTGCTGATTCAGCTCGATGGCCCCTGACCAGCCAGCCCCAGGGAAGCTGTCTGCATCCCGGGCCCTGAGGTTACAGGTGCACACGGCCACACCTGCTCTGTATGTGAGGGCTAGGAATCAACTCAGGTCCTCATGGTTATGTGGCAAGCACTTTCCAGGCTAACCATTTCCCTACTCGCCCTTACCTTTTTAAATACAGAGAAATAATAGTAAATGTTTATAGTCTTCTTGTTAGTTTACTAATAATTACCTTTGTGTGAGGTTTCTGTTGCTGCGATAAAACACCATCACCAAAAGCAACTTGGAGAGAAAGGGGTTATTTCAGCTTACACCTCTCAGGTCATAGCCCATGTCTGGGGAAAGTCAGGACAGGGACTCAAGGTAGGAACTAGAACATAAACTGTGCTGCTTTCTGGCTTGCTCCTCATGGCTCACTCAGCCTGCTTTCTTATGCAGCTCAGAACTAGCTGCCTAGGGTTGAAACTGTCCACAGTGAGCTGGCCTTTCTTTATATCAATCATCATTCAAGAAAATGCCCAAAGGCCAGTCTTAGTGAAGCATTTCTCAATTGAGACATCCTCTTCCTCAATACCCCTAGCTTCTGTCAAGTTAGCAAATTAACCAGAACAACCTTTGAAAGTTTTTACAATTCCTTTTATTTATTCTGTGTGTGGGAGCACAGGAATGCACATGGCGGAGGTGAGAGGACAGTGTGCAGGAGTCAGCTCTCTGCTTCTACCAGAAGTGTCGGTCCCAGGGATCACATTGAGGTTGGAGAGGCTGCAGGGATGGCTCGGTGGTCACGAGCACCAGCTGTTCTTCCAGAGGACCCAGGTTCACTTCCCAGCACCCCCGTGGCAGCTCACACGATAACCTCATACAGAAAGACATGTAGGCAAAATAACACACATAAGTGGATAGATAGATGGATGAATGGATGGATAAATAAAAACAACCAGCCAGTCAACCCAAGTTGAGGCTGTCCATCTTGGTAGTAAGCTCGTTTGCCTGATGAGCCATTTGCCTCTAGGTACACTTTCATATTAGATGATGTAGATTTTGAGAGTAATGTGTGTGTGTGTGTGTGTGTGTGTGTGTGTTTTAAAGATTTATTTATTATGTATACAGCATGTATGACTGCAGGCCAGAAGAGGGCACCAGATCTCATTACAGATGGTTGTGAGCCGCCATGTGGTTGCTGGGAATTGAACTCAGGACCTCTGGAAGAGCAATCAGTGCTCTTAACCTCTGAGTCATCTCTCCAGCCCCGAGAGTAATGTTTTTAATGTATACAAACTATCAAATATGGTTTCCTGGTTGAATTCTATCTTGGAGATGATGTATGTGCTAACATGCCATAATATTCTCCTTTTCCCTGTTTTAGAAACTTTAAAGGAAATTGATGATGTCTATGAAAAATATAAGAAAGAAGATGATTCAAACCAGAAGAAACGCCTACAGCAACATCTGCAGAGAGCGTTAATCAATAGCCAGGAATTGGGAGATGAAAAAATTCAGATTGTCACACAAATGCTGGAATTGGTGGAAAATCGGGCGAGACAAATGGAGCTGCATTCACAGTGTCTCCAAGATCCTGCTGAAAGTGAACGGGCCTCAGACAAGGGGAAGATGGATTCTAGTCAACCTGAAAGATCTTCTAGAAGACCTAGAAGACAGCGAACCAGTGAGAGCCGTGATTTATGTCACATGACAAATGGGATTGAAGACTGTGATGATCAGCCCCCGAAAGAAAAGAAATCCAAATCTGCTAAGAAAAAGAAACGCTCCAAGGCCAAGCAGGAAAGGGAAGCCTCGCCTGTTGAGTTCGCAATAGATCCCAATGAACCTACCTACTGCTTATGTAACCAAGTGTCTTACGGGGAGATGATAGGCTGTGACAATGAACAGTGTCCCATTGAATGGTTTCACTTTTCATGTGTTTCACTCACCTATAAACCAAAGGGGAAATGGTATTGCCCCAAGTGCAGGGGGGACAATGAGAAAACAATGGACAAAAGTACTGAAAAGACGAGAAAGGAGAGAAGAGCGAGGTAGTGAAGGCCATCTGTGTTTTAAAAGGGTTGTTTGTCTTTTATAGAATTGGTTTAATTTCAGAAAATGTTTTAGGAGAAATGCATAAGACTATGCAATAATTTTTAATCATTAGTATTAATGGTGTATTAAAAGTTCTTGTACTTTGTCTGTGACCTTAATTTTCTGCACTGAATTACCAAATATTTTAAGCCAGGTAGTCTTGAGCGCACCTGACGGAAGGAACAGGAAACAGGGAGGAAGTGGTATGAACGAGCTTCAAGCAGCTTCCCAAACCACACCTATTTCATTTTCACCTCAAACTCCCATGCTGGTTTGGGGGTAAACACAAAAGTTTTGCTAACATCTTAGTTCTGTGTGCTTAAAATTTTTTATGTATTGTTGGATTTCTCTGTGTCAAATTACCTTGGTAATTTCAAATACGAACACTATCCTGTTTAGAGATTCTTACTGGCCCCATGTAGTATTCATACACTTGTTAAATCTCTAGTCTTCCAGAAGTTCTGGGAACTAGAGAGAAGAGTTATCTGTGGTTCCGTGTGGAGTCATGCACTCTTCCTGGAGTATCTGCTGCTGTATTTCCTTGGTAGCTTTTGATACCTGTCAGTTGTAGCATCTATAAATGTCGCTGCTTTTTCAAAACAGGTGCACCTTGTCTACCGCTTAATAAGGGACTTGTTTTGTTTTGTTGGGACAGGTAAGGCTAGTTAAAATACCAAAAAATGCTGCCATTGGCTCATACTGGCAAGATTTGGAGTATTATTTAGCATCATGGTTCAATTTAAAGATTGTGTCTTGATATTTTCCACGTGACCTGTTGCTGGGAAGTGTCACCACAGACCTGTCAGTGGGAAAGGGGCACATAGGAGTCTTTAAATATTGCCTTTTCTGTCAAACAGTTATTTTAAATAGTTTTGCTGGGGGCTAGAGTTTATTTCTATCCCAATGAGTAATTATACATTATTTTAAATAATAGTATATTGACCTTAACCTCTGGTATTGGTGCTGTTTGATGTTTTCATGTTTATTGAACTAATTTCATTATAACAATATAATTAATAATGTATTTGTAAACTGAACTTTCCCGGATTTTGATATTTTAAGGGTAAGGATCTTGATGGATGTATGTCCATGCATTGGAGAAGTTTTTGATTGTGGGGGACAGCAGATGGACTAGTTCTTTAAACTTATGTGTAGCATACTTCTTATTCATCATTTCTTTCTAATCTGATGATCTTGATTCTTTTTGATTTAACATGTGAAAAATCCTGTCTGCTTGTTTGGAAAAAAAAAATTGCTTTTTTCTCTTCCAGCTCTCTGTGTGACTTGTAGGCCTGCCATTTCACCTTATCTGAACATCAGATCATTCACCTGGAATGAGTTGGCTTAAATGTCTCCAAGGTCCTTTTGAACTCTTAGTGGTGTGCTGTGGTGAAAGATTTTAATAATGAAATGGCTTGCTTTTCTCTTTAATTACTGTCCTCCATACCCTGAGGTATGAAGACAGTGTAAGGTTAGAGACTGGTAAATGAACATGATTTTATTTCTGTCCCAAGGCTATGTTGCTTACTCACTATTACCAGTTGATTATCTTAAGCAAGAAATAGTGAGTAGAACGATGAATGTCTTTTTAACTTGAATTGTAAAGAAACCCATTTCCTCCTGACACCATTCACATAATCAGTGTGAGCAAAGCTTTGAAGGATGACTCTGGGGAGCACACCACTCTTTAATCCATAGATTTGCCTCAGCTTATGGAAGAAAAAACAAAACCCACAGCATTTTAATAGAGGCATCCGAAGTTCCATAGGACTTTGACAGTAGATGTACCTAGAATGGCTTGTCTTTCAGATCTACTGTTTGAAACATCATGTTTTATGAATTAACTTTTGTTTTCTATACCATGTGGGGAAGAGAAGTTAAAATTTGCATAACATTATGATTGGGATTTCTTTGTTAAATATTTATCTCTTACCCTAGCTCACGTCACTGTTACCAGCTCATACTGTGTGACAGAATTACTGAACCTACCTCACATTGGAATTACCTTAGTAAGTTTGAAAGCATTGGTACCTGGGTCCCAACCACAACAGTTGTGATACAGAATTCATTTGGAATGTGACTTAGGCATTAGGTTTTTTTTAAAGGTCCCCATTCTAACGTATAGAAAACCACTCCCCCATTTTGACATTGTCAGCCCATTGAAAACTCCTGGGAGCTTGTCAGCATTTAGGTTTTTGTAGCACCGAAGCTACCGTCACCCGTAGTTGATTGCTGCCTCTCTGTACCAGGGGCTGCTTTACCCTGGTGGGATAGGCAAAGAAAAAGTTCCTCTTGGGAACCACACATTCTAGTGGAAGGGTCAGTTAGCTGATCTAGAACATCAGATAACTGTTTGAGTGGATAAATTAAAGGGAAGCACTTTAAACATGGAAAAAGGAAGGGGTGTGTACAAATGCAGTGGATTAGGAAGGGCCTCTAAGGAAGTCATCAGACCTCAGAACAGAAATAGAGATTCGAGGAGGCCACACATCTTTGGGGGCAGTAGGATAAACCTCAGGAAAGATCTAGAAAATGAAGACTTTGGAAATCATGGTGGGCAGTTTGGGAAGGCATTGAAAGACTTTGAGCCACAGTCAGATTTGTGTTTAAAGATCAGTCTGGGTAGTTAGTGTGCATAGTCTGTAGGTCCCCTATGGAAGTGGGGTTAGAAAACGCAGATATTTGCCTCCCAAGTGGCAGTTTAGATTTGTGTGTTCAACTGAAAAAGGCTGTCTAATGGTGTATCTCTGTCTTAAACTTTTTTTTTTTTTTTTAGTTTTTCGAGACAGGGTTTCTCTGTGTAGTTTTGCGCCTTTCCTGGAACTCACTTGGTAGCCCAGGCTGGCCTCGAACTCACAGAGATCCGCCTGGCTCTGCCTCCCAAGTGATGGGATTAAAGGCGTGCGCCACTACCGCCCGGCTGTCTTAAACTTTTTAAAAGATAATTTATTTTTATGTGTATGGATGTTTTGCTCTTCTGTGTGTTTATGTAACAAGTGTGTGCGGTACTCAAGCTAGAAGACGCATCCAATCCCCAGAGTGGGGGTTCTAGACTATTGGCTGCCTCATGGGTGCTGGGAACTGAACTCAGGTCCTCTGGAAGAGCAACAGGTGTTTTTAACCACTGAGCCATCTCTCCAGCCCCTAGAGGTTTGTTTTAAAAGACACAGCTAGTGGGTGGGATTTTGGCCTAGGAATTGGAAAGCAAAGTGATGATGAGTGAATTTTAGATCCTTGGTCTTAAGGCTAGGGATGGAGGCTGGGGATGGAGGTCCCCCCCACATTTGGGATAGCAACCAACTGGTTCTGGAAGAGAGAGAACTTGGTACTTGGGTTTGAAATGCCTCAATTTCTAGGGTAACCCAGAGTCCTGTGTATGATAAGTTTTGGGGGACAGGATAAGCATTTGGAGAGTCAGTGGGATTGAGTTAGTGTTTCTCAAATGTCTACAGTCATCTCCATTTGTTACAGTGAGTCCGATTCAGTAGATTGCTTGTAGGGCCTGAGAGTCTGCATTTCCTGCCAGGCTTGCCGATGCTGATGCTATTGTTTAGGGGTCCACAGTTTGAGGAGCAATCAAGTTCCAGAAGAGGAAGGAGTTGGCCATGAGGTATTCAGACGTTTGAAATGGGAAGCAACGGAGGTGCTTTCTCAGAGCCCTCAACCAGGCCGAAAAGTGGTCTGCTACTCATTTCTAAATAAAAGTGTTCTGAGAAGGCCGTCAGCAACTCATTTCGGTGCTGTTCCAGGAAGCTGAGCGTAGAGGACCATCACATGGCTCGGTTTAATACAAGTTTGGGGGGATGAAGGAACCAAACGTGAACAGAAGAGGATTGAAGTAGTGACAGGAACTCAAGCTTGGATGCAAAAGGTCACAGCACTGTCAAATATTTCCTGTGTACTTGTTTGCAAGACGGGTAGAGTAGTGGAGGTAAAGCAGCCAGTGAGTAAAGACAGAAATCCAACTTTAAGATGCTTAGACTCTGGAATGCGTAGGGGTAAAAGCAGGTTAGGTGGCTAGGGTTGGAATGGGGAACATGAGATTGTACTTCACTTTCCTGCTGAAGAGCTGAGGAGGGAGGATGCTAGAGATCAGTAGGAGGTAATTAAGATACGTGTGTGAAATGCCACTTAGGGAAGTGGGAACAAGAATGGTCTAGGAAAGTCAGTCTGAGCTATGGATACGCCAAGGGTTTGAGCCCTATCTTCAGATGAGCCGATTGCAGACTGCCTGGGTGTAAGCATGAAAAAAAGTGAAAATATAAAATAACGTAAACCCTCAAATCTCGAAGCCAGGAAGGTTGCACTTCCCCAGCCCTTTTTGAGTGCCCACCAGTGATGTCCTCTGCAGCATCCGGCCTCATTGCCCTGCTGGATGGAGAGGCCCAGCCCTTCCAGGAGCCTCTGCTGTGAGGAACCGGGTGGGCTCTGCTGCACTCTGAGTCAAGCGCTTTAGCTGTGATGTAGCACCAGCTATGATTCCAATAGTGTGTGGCAGTTTGGACTCACCCTTACTGGGATTGCCTGACCTCGGTACGCTGGTTATGGAAACAGGCGGCTTTACTCCTTCCTGTTTGAGTGGGGGGGGGGGGGGCATGCTCTGAACCAGGATTCCAAAGACGTTGTCTGTGAGCAGGGTCAGGCCGCCATCCTCCGCCTGGAGTTTGTTTAGATGGAAAATGAGCGATGTAGGATGGTTTCCTGAAAAGCTGCTGATATTCTTGTCTCTGGGAGGTCTGAGGGAATAGTGTCCCTGGCCTAGGTTTACTATCTAAGTCTCCTAAATTAACAGTCTAATTCATGTATGTGGTAACTAGACTTTAAGCAGAATTCTCCTTTTCCTTTTTTTCTTTTCTTTCTCACTTTTTGTTTTGTTTTAGGTTTTGTTTTCAAGACAGGGTTTCTCTGTGTAGCCCTGGATATTCTGGAACTCATTCTGCAGACCAGGCTGGCCTTGAACTCACAGATCCTCCTGTCTCTGCCTTCTGAGTGTTGGGTTGTGCGCCACCACTGCCCGACTAAGCAGAATTTTCTAAGCATCAGATACTAGAAAGATCTCAGTAGATTTAGCCATGTCCATATGCTCTGTGAATCGTATTTTAAAATATTACCCAATGCTTTTTGAATTGGTTCACTTTTTGTTTTTGTTTTTGTTTTTGTTTTTCGAGACAGGGTTTCTCTGTGTAGCTTTGCGCCTTTCCTGGATCTCGCTCTGTAGACCAGGCTGGCCTCGAACTCACAAAGATCCGCCTGCCTCTGCCTCCCGAGTGCTGGGATTAAAGGCGTGCGCCACCACCGCCTGGCTGAATTGGCTCACTTTTTATGTAAATTTATTTTGTAAATACAAAAGTATCGTGTGTGTGTGTGTGTGTGTGTGTGTGTGTGTGTGTGTGTGTGTGTGTGTAAGAGAGAGAGACAGAGAGACACAGAGAGATTAATACAACAAACCAAAGCAGTGGCATTAAGTTCTAGCTATGTGAGATTATTTTCAAGAACGGAGTCCAGAGTCCTCCTTATTAGATAATGTGATTAGTTAATACTAGGTAAGGATGAAAGACAAATACAAAGCAATAAAAACGCTCAGAGAATCCACTTGAACCCTGTTTACCATCCTACTCTGGGAAATAACTGTAACAACAGAAGTAACCATTGCCCTTTTCCCCCCACATTCAGATTAGTGTTTTCTTTCTTGTCTGTGGTGATCCACACCTGTAATCTCAGCCCTTGGGAGGTCGAGGCAGGAGGATGGAAGTTCAAGGCCAGCCTGGATCGTATAGTAGCTCGGAGGCCAGTGGGGATACCTGATGCCTTCATTTTAAATAAATAAATAAATAAATTTTTTTCTTAAAGCTACATGCCACAAGGTTTCCGTAAAGCTTGCAAAGTGCTAACCAACATTATCTACATGAGCATTATAGAGACCAATCAGAAGCCATTATTCTGACCCATAGGGATTTCTAGGGTGGTCTGTTTTCTGCTCTGAGAAGTCTCCCAACCCTCACCCTGGTGCCTCATTTAGAAGTTGAGAGAGATTTATTTATTTATTTTTATTTATTTATTTTTTTTTTTAATTTTTTTTGAGACAGGGTTTCTCTGTGTAGTCCTGGCTGGAGAGAGATTTCTTTGACCAGCCTTACACCATTGCTCTTGGGCCCGGCAGTCCAGAGTTGGGGGAAAAAAAAAAAAGTTGTGTTAGCAGGGCGGTGGTGGTGGTGGTGGTGGTGGTGGTGGTGCACGCCTTTAATCCCAGCACTCGGGAGGCAGAGCCAGGCGGATCTCTGTGAGTTCGAGGCCAGCCTGGGCTACAAAGTGAGTTCCAGGAAAGGCGCAAAGCTACACAGAGAAACCCTGTCTAGAAAAACCAAAAAAAAAAAAAAAAAAAAAGGTGAAAGTCATCTCCATAACTTCCTTAGTTACCCACTTCTAGTATAGGGATTTTTCATCCAAAAGTCAAATTTCCAACTCTCTACAAATTGGACAACATGTCCATAGTCATCATTAACACTGAAGGAGTGAGATTTTGGTAGGATAGCATACTTTGAGCAGCTGTGTGCCTACACACACTAAAGTATTCTTTACGAATTTTGAGTATTGGAAACAATTGACCTGCCATCTTAAGTAGGTCCTTTGTCATCGTGGCATTTCATGGTATGGAAATAATGTTTTGACCCTGGTCACTCAGCACGTGATGACACACTGCCTCCAGACCTTAGTCCCAGTCAGGAGGACCATTTGCTTCTGGACTTTGCCTCAGGCTGGTTTGAAAAATATTTTTCTTTTTTTTTTCCTCCAAAACTGCTTAGCAGCTTGTATCCCCCCCCCCCCCTTTTTGTGTGTGTGTGTGTCTTGGAAAAGCATTTGTTTAGATTATAGCTAGGTTAAGAATAAACAGGCCAGGCACTGGTGGCATACGCCTTTAGTTCCAGCACTCGAGAGGCAGAGCCAGGTAGATCTCTGTGAGTTCGAGGCCAGCCTGGTCTACAGAGCGAGATCCAGGACAGGCACAAAGCTACACAGAGAAACTCTGTCTCGAAACCCCCCCCCCAAAAAAAAAAGAATAAACAGAATTTGAGGTACTTGAGTGCCTAAGACTTAGGTTTTGAATATGTGGGTTTTAAAGTGGAGTTTTTGTTTATTTTTTTACTTTCTTTTTATGAGACAGGGTCTCATTGTGTTCTTGGCTAGCCTGGGACTCACTGTGTAGACCAGGCTGGCCTTGAACTCATAGTGAACCACCTTCCTGTGCCTTCAGAGTGCTATACCATCACGCCCTGCCAGATGTGTGGTTTTAAACAATACATTCTCAGCTGTGTTCAGAGAGCAGTGCATTACTATATTCTTATTTTGAAGATCCGAATCTGATTACTTTGTTTTACCATAGGCCTTAACTTATTAATCTAGTGTGCTAACAGTTCACTTGAAACACAAGTATAATTCAACTGGCTAGTTTTCTCTTCAGGTGTTAGCCTAGAAATGTGGGATCCTGCTCTCAGTGGCAAGTAATTTTGGTTCCAAAAGAATTTACCCTGTCAAGAATGTAAAAATGGAAGGATGTAATATTTCCAAGCCTAAAAGATGGATTTTTGTTGTTTTGTTTTTTGTTGTTGTTTGTGGTGGTGGTGGTGGTGGTGGTGGTGGTGGTTATGGTGTGTGTGTGATGACTAATGCCCCAAATAGCAAAAACTTTGTTCTATGATCTTAAGAGTACATTTCACTTTTTTTGTTAGAAAAAATTGAACTTGAAAAGGGTAGATTCTCATAGATTAAAGAAAAGACAGAAGTATGTGGGTATTTTTTATGTGGTCATTGTATGAACATTTATCATCTTTCATTGGGTTTCTCTTTTTAGTCGTAGATTAAATGCTTAATCATCTGGAATTGATGAGTTAAGTTTGTGTTATTCTCATGTGATCTTAAGCTCCTAAAACAAGACTTGTCATCCTTTTACATTAGCAATGAACTTAGAACCTTCAGAAACTCCCCTGAGGGGAGTGCTTTGTGTGCGAGGAGTCTGCAGTCCCTGACTGCTGCCCTCAACAGTGGCTACGGGTGGGTCTTGATGTGTGCACAGAGTGCAGATAGCAGGGTCTCAGCAGTGACTACGGGTGGGTCTTGATGTGTGCACAGAGTACAGGTAGCAGGCTCTCAGCAGTGACTACGGGTGGGTCTTGATGTGTGCACAGAGTGCAGGTAGCAGGGTCTCAGCAGTGAGTACGGGTGGGTCTTGATGTGTTCACAGAGTGCAGGTAGCAGGGTCTCAGCAGTGACTCCGGGTGGGTCTTGATGTGTGCACAGAGTACAGGTAGCAGGGTCTCAACAGTGACTACGGGTGGGTCTTGATGTGTGCACAGAGTGCAGGTAGCAGGGTCTCAGCAGTGACTACGGGTGGGTCTTGATGTGTGCACAGAGTGCAGGTAGCAGGCTCACTGCTTGCATCAGATGTTCCCATCTCTCTTTTGCTGCTTCTCCCCTGAGCACTCTCCTGCCAAAGGTCAAGGGAGGTAGAAGCCATCCTCTGAAACAGTCACCTACACGATCCCCACCTGAAAATTGAGTATCATGTGTTGTCTGACATTTTTTCAGATAGACCTTCCTCACCTGGACTTTGGACCTTGATGAGAAAATTCAAAGATATACTTTAGGTAGAATGTGAAAAAGTAATTTGTAGCTGGGCGGTGGTGGCGCATGCCTTTAATCCCAGCACTCGGGAGTAGAGGCAGGCGGATCTCTGAGTTCAAGACCAGCCTGGTCTACAGAGCGAGATCCAGGACAGGCACCAAAACTACACAGAGAAACCCTGTCTCGGGAAATAAAAAAGAAAAGAAAAAAGAAAAAGTGATTTGTAAAAGTATGCCACATAGAATCCCCATGAGAACTGGTATGTCATCTGGCATGGAATGAAATTATGCTTTAACCAGTTTCCCAAAGTATTCCCTAGGCTCGGAAGGGTTAATCTGCCTAGGAGAGGGGATTGCTTACATATTTCCCTCTCCTTGGGGATCTGGAGGTTCACATGTGCTATAGAAGTGTCTACAGGTTTGAGAATACTGTGGAAAACTAGACCATGAAGAAATGGTTTCTAGGATGCTAATGAGTGATTAGAGTATGGGCAGCCACACAGCAGCCCCTTTCCTATATCCCCAGACTGGGGTCTTGATGTCATTTGGACCATTGTTTAAAGGCTTTGGTCTTCCTGATTATTAAACAATGATAATTAGATGCTGTCATTGATGGGAGTGTTTGTGTTCGAATCTTCCCTGAGCAGACCAGGTACAGCTGATGGCAATAACGCTCAGCAAGGTGTGCGTGTGCCCCCATCTCACTCTAAAAGCAATTTATTTGATTCAGCTTCTTAATTAGTAAAAGCAGCCTAGATTTCGTAGCCGTAAACTGATGACTGTAGCCTTCTGTTCTGATCAGAGAAACTTCAGAGGAGATCACTGTTCGTCTTGGGCTCATTTCTGGGAAATTAAGCATGACGAGGCAAGCGATAATAGAATCTTAATTTAGCCCACACTTGATTATTACCAAATGGGCCAAGTGGATGCCGGGAGATGTGACCCCTAGGCAGCAAGCTTGTGTTCCCGGTGATCACTGAAGTTTATTGGGATCAAATGTCATGACGTTCTTTGTTTTAGAGTCTATAGAGTTCAACTACACTCTTCTTTGGAGAACTCATGGTTATTTCCAAGTAATGAATATTCAACTGTTTGCAAAATGCACTTACAGGAAAATCCAGATTGCTAAGCCAATGTCACAGTCAGAAATGTCTATGAAAGAGTAGGGCAATACCATGTGTAGCTAGACCTCAACCTAAGGTGTATATCTGAGTCACAGAACCTGTAGAGGAAGGAATAGGGAGCTGGTTGTTGCCTGAGAGTTAATTTACGAAGTGACTGGGGCCGTTCCAAATTTGCCATTTCTAGTACAGGTTAGTGAGGGCATTAATGTTTTAGGTGTTTTTTTTTTTTTTTTTTTTTTTTTTTCACCTCTTTAGTTAGTATTTCAGGAAAGTAATCAAATTGTTCCTGGAACTAAAGGTTTTTTTTTGTTGTTGTTGTTTTTTGGTTTTTTTTTATATATATATATATATACTGGGTTCTGGGCTTTTTGTTTGTTATGTTTTGTTTTGTTTTTCAAGACAGGGTTTCTCTGTGTAGCCCTGACTGTCCTTGAATTTGCTCTTTAGACCAGGCTGGACTTGAACTCAGAGATCCACCTGCCTCTGCCTCTGGAGTGCTGGGGTTAAAGGTGTGCACCACACCCACCAGGCTTTATATACTGGTTTTTTAAGATTGGGTGGTGGTGGTATTTCACCTGAATGTAAGTGTGTATATTATGTATATGCCTGGTGCCTGGGAGGCCAGAAGAAGGTGTCAGATCCTCTGGAACTGGGGTTACAGACAGTTGTTAGCCACCATGTTGGTGCTGGGAACTGAACCTGAGTTCTCTGGAAGAGCAGCCTGTGCTTAGCTTAGCTGTCTCTCCAGCCCTGGAACTAAAAGTTTAACTTGGGGCGATAGTAGATACACTGTGGTCTGTATGAGAAGTAGCAAGCCTCCTGGCCATCTCACAGACAGGCTGTTAACACTGCTTTTGAAAATAGTTTATGTTTATTCAGAAGAGAACAAAGTGTCGTCAGAATGAAGACGCTGTGCGGAGGGAGAGTTTCCCTTTTCAGAATCATCTTTTTTAAGAAAGGAAGAAAGGGAGAAGGCGAAGCTTCCGCCCTACACCATCTCCCTTGTGCATCATCTCAACACTTGCAGACTGCTAGGAGTCGGGAAAAGCAGCTTTGTCCTGCCATTGCTTCGTTAGAGCCTTGAATGCCAGGCTAGATTGTAGAGCATCCCTCTCACGCCCTAGGCATTTTTCTTGAGGGATGGAGTTATCAGGGCTCCGGGGATAGAACCCAGGGCTTCATGCATGCCAAGCATGTACTCTACCTCTGAACTGCACCCCCAGCTCCTGCTTCAAGCTTTAAAACTCTTAGGTTTTTTTTTTTTTTTTTTTTTTTTTTTTTTTTTTTTTTGGTTTTTCGAGACAGGGTTTCTCTGTGTAGCTTTGCGCCTTTCCTGGAACTCACTTGGTAGCCCAGGCTGGCCTCGAACTCACAGAGATCCGCCTGGCTCTGCCTCCCGAGTGCTGGGATTAAAGGCGTGCGCCACCACCGCCCGGCTAAAACTCTTAGGAAACAGTTGAAATAGAGTGAAAAATATTTTCTCAAGGAACTTCAGAATTCACCCATGAATTATTTTTGTAGTGGTTTCACAAAATGAGTTAAAAATAATTACCAATATTTATGATGTTTTTAAAGTGTTAACTAATGATATTAATATTAACTCAGCATTTAGTTTGGTTACAGAGTACTACAACAGGACTCAACAATAGAAATTCATAGGAAACTTCTGTGGGAGAAGTTGGGGAGAGTATCAGGAAAAAACAATGTTAAAATTATATTTATAGGTACATTAAAGATCTATGGTATAGTATTTCTGTTTCATTGACAGATGCAATTTTAAATGGTTTGCTTTATTTTAAAGTGGCACTACAAAATGTATCAGAAATTACATTATTACAATCATATAAGCTTTAATGGAACATTCTAGAAGTCAATTTATATGTGTGAGAAGATATCAGTTTTTTTTTAATCTTCGAGGCTGTGAGAGCAGAATTTTTAGAAACAGTTGACATAAGCAGTCCATTCACTGCTCCTGTTCTTGACCTCCTCACCTTAACCTGCCATTTCCACCTTGACCACCTTCTTTCATCCAGACACAACAGCTGCCAGTTTCCAAGTCTGTGACCACGATTGTACTCTTCTTGCTCCCCTTCAGACCTCCGGTTCTTCCAGAAGATGATTAACTCAATTGTTTCACTCAAAACAAGAGCAAAGTTCATCAGAGCTCTCTACTGCTGCTTCGTGTGTGTGTGTGTGTGTGTGTGTGTGTGTGTGTGTGTGTGTGTGTGTATACTTGTGGAAGCCTTGAAGTTGATGTTGTGTCTTCTATTTCTCTCCATTTTGTTCATTGAGGCAGGGTCTCTCACTGAACCTGGAGCTTGCCAATCCTGGCTGATCTAGCTAGCCAGCTTGCCGCAGGGGCCCTTGTGTCTACCTCCAGAGTTCTGGGATTGTAGAGAGGGCCTGCACACCTACCTGGTTTTTATGTGGGGCTGGGAGTCCATGTTCTGCTCCCCATGCTTGTACAGCAAGCGATCTCCCCGCTCTGCCGCCTCCCCAGGCCCTCCGGCTGCTGCGTCCTCTGGTGCTCCCTACCTCTCATCCCCCGGACTGGTGGCTGTTCTCAGATCCAGACTCTCGGTTTGTGCATAGGAACTTCATTCCTAAAATGGTTCCCTCAATTATCTAGGTTTCTCCTCCTCCTGGGTTTTTCCTTTGTACTGTTATGTTTCTAATCTTAAAAACTAGAGCCGGGCGGTGGTGGCGCATGCCTTTAATCCCAGCACTTGGGAGGCAGAAGCAGGCGGGATCTCTGTGAGTTCGAGGCCAGCCTGGTCTACAAAGCGAGTTCCAGGAAAGGTGCAAAGCTACACAGAGAAACCCTGTCTCGAAAAACCAAAAAAAAACAAACAAAAGAACAGGGCTGGAGAGATGGCTCAGTGCTTAAGAGCACTGAATGCTCTTCCAGACGACCAGGGTTCAATCCCCAGGACCCACATGGCAGCTCATAACTGTAACTCCAGTTTCCTGGAAAAACACCAATGCACATAAAGAAATAAAATTAATTAAAAAACTAGAAAGAACAATCAAGATAATAGTCCCACATCCCATGCTAACTGCGCTGTGTGTGTGTGTGTGTGTGTGTGTGTGTGTGTGTGTGTGTGTTTTGCCATAACTTTATGGTTGTTTTTTGTTCTTAATCTGAGGAGCTGAAGAGATGGCTTACAAAGTTAAGAATAGCACTTGCTGCTCTTCCAGAAGCCCTGGGTTCCATTCCCAGCACCCACTGGCTGCTCACAGCTGTTGGTAATTCCAGTTCCATGGCATCTAATGCTTGCACTCATACAGACCTACGCAAATACACATAAACAAAAATAATTCTTTTTAAATTCTGTTTTTCTGTCTTCACTGTCCTTGCTGGAGTGGCTCTGTCTGGTATACTAAATGACACTGCTTTCACAGTATCAGATTTGACTTCTCCGTCATGATCTTTTCCTGCTAACACCTGACACAGCTCCCCCATCTAAACATGCACTCTCAGCCTCCAGAGTTTAAAATACTCTCGTTCTTCCCGTTGCCTGTGGTTCCATCTCATTCTGTCCTAAGTACTGCGGTGTTCTAGGCTAGGCCTTCAGGACTGTCTACGATCCTTGGAAAGCTCATGCTCTCTGGTGCCTCTACTCAGAATCTGATGACTCCCAGAGGCCTGCCAGCATCCCAGCTACCACATCCAGGCTCGCACATTCAACTGCCCCCAGCACTTCTTCCTCATGGCAACTGGACATCTCACACTTGCCACAGGATTTTCATACCCCCGTTAGACGGCTGTACTTCTCTGCCTTCTTGTCTGTGGAGAATGACAGTTCCACCTTGAGTTTCTCAGGCTAAGATCTGTGAAGTCAGCTTTTCCTCATAGACCCTGCGACTATTTCGTCCACATGTTCTGTCAGCCCATCAAAATATATCCATCAGCCCGCCTTCCTGCTCCTCCCCTCATCTAGGCCACCCCAGTCACCTCTGTCAGGACTGCCACAGTAGCCCCCCAGTCTGTCTTCTTGCGCCCACTTAGTCCTGTCTCATTATTGCCTCCAAATTGGCTAAACCGATCGGGCTGAATCAGTCTTTCCTCTTCATAAATTCCTGCAGTGGCTTCTTATGTAAACTCCAAAGGTCTCGTAGTGGTCTAAACAGCCCCCTCTTCGTCAGGCTTCAAGCCCCGACTTCTAGCCTTCTCCTTTTGCCCACTCTGGTCCAGCCACGTTGACCACCCGTGCACCTCCAGGACTCTCAGCCACAGACCTGTACACATCTTCCCTCTTCTTCAACACCTCTGTCTCCCATTTCCAGTTTGCTTGCTCCTTCTCTCCTTCTCCAGAGGCCACTCCCCGAACACTCATGTTCAAAATGCCCCGTGTTCCTCCACCCCACGAAACCTTAGCCAGCCTCGTCTATGACGGGAGAAAGATCCTAACTCTGTACTCTCACCAGAGGATGGCTATCTAGACTTTACCTCCTCACAGAATTTAATATTTTTCATCCAGCCAAAATGATGAGCCTAAAGTTTAAGTTTGTGAGAGTGTATAAAGACATAAATAGAAAAAACCCGAATGAAAGGAGATTTTCCAAGGACATATTATTTACTTTACATTCTTTTCTCCTCTTCCTTTCTTTCTTTCTTTCTTTCTTTCTTTCTTTTTTTTTTTTTTTTGTAAGTTTCTTATTTGAATGTTTCCTCCCACTAAAATGTAAGCTCCTTGAGAGCAGGAACTGTGTGTGTCCCATCCGCCACCCAACAGCTGTATTTTCAGTGACACACAGTCAGTTCTTAATAAATATTTTTTGAATAAGTGTTACGATACATTTATTAATCGAGTCCAGTGTCTGTGGTTCCTTAGAACAAAGAAGCTAATGGGCACACGTCTTGTGTATAACATTCAGTAGAACTGAATGATTCCAACAGTCACTCATCAGGGCATCATGGGAGCAATTAGCTATGGTGCGTGACTTAATTTTGTTTCCTGTTGCTGTGATAAAATACCCTGACGAAAGCAACTTAAAGAAGAAAGAGGGCTGGGCGGTGGTGGCGCACGCCTTTAATCCCAGCACTCAGGAAGCAGAGCCAGGCGGATCTCTGTGAGTTCGAGGCCAGCCTGGTCTACAGAGCGAGATCCAGGACAGGCACCAAAACTACATACAGAGTCTGTCTCCAAAAAAAAAAAAAAAAGAAGAAGAAGAAGAACAAGAAGAAGAAAATGTTGACTTGGCTCCCAGTTCCAGGTCAAAGCTCATCCTTGTGGGGAAGTCAAGGCAGCAGAAACTTGAAGTAGAAGTTACATGACAGCCACAGTCCGAGCAGAGAACAAGGAATTAATGCATGCTTGCTTGCCAGGATCCGGCTAGTTTTCTCCTCTCATGCGATTCAGGATCCCCTGTCCAGGGACTGGTGCTGTCTACATTCGGGGATGCTCTCCCAATCTCAGCCAATCAAGATCCCGCACCGGCATAACCACAGGTCAAACTAATCCAGATAGTTCATCAGTGAGACTCTGGGGTGATATATTTGTTGTATTTTAAAAACAGTGAGGTGAGTTTAAAAACAGAGAGGGAGTCACACCGTACAACAGGGCCCATGTAGGAGGTTTATTGAGGGGAGGGCAGAGAAGGGGTAGAGACCAGTTCCTAGGCCGAGAAAGAGAAAGAAAGGAGATGAGGTGGGGAAGGCCCGCCTTTTATGAGGAAACGTAGCAAATGCACACAGGGGGTGCTCTTAGTGGCTGCAGCTGAGGTTATATCCTGTCAGGACCCTAAGGGCAGGCCAGTACAGATGCCTCAATGCTAACACTATTGTTTGCAATCTAGGAAATAAAGCTTGTCTGAAGATCAGAGGACAGAGCCAGCCACAGAGTTAGCCATAGAGGTCAGGCAGTGGCGGCACACACCTTTAATCCCAGCACTAGGAAGGTTGAGACAGGAAGTGATATGGCTGGACAGGGAAAGGAATGTAAGGCGGGAGGAGACAGCAACTCTCTCACTCAGGCTGAGGAGTTGGTGAGGTAAGAGGTGGTGGCTGTGGCTGCTCTGCTTCTCTGATCTTTCAGCTTTCACCCTGATATCTGGCTCTGGGTTTTTATTATAAGACCATTTAGGATTCGTACAACAGGACTCCCTTCCCAGATGACTTTAGACTGTCTCAGGTTGGCAAAAGCAACCCCGTGTGCTCTTTTTTTCCATGAGATTCTTTCATGCTTTTCTCCCCCGGTGTGATGGCTTTCATATGGCCTTTTTGTGCACACATTTGTGGCTCCTCTTCCTTGTCTCCATCCTCCCCTCTTTCCCCTTCCTCCCTCGCCAGCCCCACTTCCGCTTCCGGGTCACGTGCCCTCTAGTACACTCTTCCATCCACCCTCTCTTAAGATTTCTTTCCCTCTTCTCATGGTCCCACTTCTGATTCATGGCCTATGCCCTCCTACACACATATACATATCTATTAATTAGAATCTGGGATCTGCATATGAGAGAAAACATCTGTCTGAAATGTTGGTTTTATGCAGCAGCGCAATATTATTCATTAAGCGGCGCTGTTACCGTGCAAGAAAAGCCATTGGCGCAACACAACCCACTATGAGAGTTTATTAGGATGAGGGGGGACAGGAGAGGGTGTGCTCAGGCCTGTTTGAAAGACATTTGCAGAGAGAGAGGAAGGAGAAGGGGGAAGAAAAGGAAGTGGGGAGGAGTGTGTGACCCGCTTTTTATGGATTCCCCCCGCACATGTGCATATGGGTTTACGGAGCTACTCCACGCATGCGCATAGATTGTGTGCTCATGCTGTGCACGGATTATGTAGGGCAGGATGCATAAGGCTCTGGGATGACTAATGCTTTGCCAGCACATGTGCAGTCATGTAGCTGGGGGGAGTGGTCAGTGGCCACGAATTCCAACATGAAATATTTCACTCAACCTAACAATTTGCAGTTCTTTTCCTTTTCCTGCAAATATGATTGCATTCTTTTTTTCTGGCTAAATAAAGTTCCATTGTGCATATGCACCACATTCTTATCTATTCATCTGTTGATGGACACCGAGGCTACTCCATATGATATTCCTTCTTTAAAAGGAGAGATGACTCAATGGTTAAGAGCACTTGCTCTTGCAGAAGACTCAGACTCAGTTCCCAATGCCCACATGGCCCCTCACAACTGCTCCCTATCTCAAATTCCAGAGAACCCAATGCCTTCTTCTGGCCTCCACCGGCACCAGACATGCATGTGGTACACACCACACACACACTCCACACACATACAGGCAAAACACTCATGTACATGAAATTAAAAAAAAATACTAAGTTTTAAAAAGGTGATTCATTAATTTCAAATGGAGAAAAAAAAAAACTCCAAACATTTGTGGTTCCAAAGCCAAGAGCTGTGTTGCTAAGTAGAGGAAATGAGAAGGTAATTTTAACCTTATTTTTAAAGAAACAGTGTGTAACTATCCCATCATGGATGTATTAGATGAATAGTAAATAGACAAATACTAACTGCCTAGTGGGCAGCTTGTTGGAGTAAAGGAAAATGGGACTCTCTGAAGTTTGACTTGAACCCTTGCCCTAAAAAAAAAAAAAAAGTTCTGTAATAGGTCATGTATCCGGGGGTTGTCATATCCCATATGACAAGATGAAGGGACAACTTGCTACCCTTCCTGTGTTAGATCGTAGACAACGATCATCTGTCCAGCAAAGAAAACTTTATCCCTTTAACACAGAGGGCTTCTCCAGTGTTATCTCCATCACTGGACAGATGCTCTCTCTTTCAGAGTGTTCTTCTCTGTCCAAAGAAGCAGATGAGCCAAGTTCTCAGGTAGGTTCAAAACTACTACATCCCCCAAAGAAGAGGACCGGCCACAGTCTCGTGTGATTCTGGGAAAGGGAGATGTAGAAGTTACCGAGTGCTGGTAGCCTGGAACCCATGCAAACAGAGCTGAAGTTTCTTCATAGCATTCTTCCCTGGTAACTTTCAGTAGCCTCCAATGGTCTTCCTCAGCACATGCCTTTAAGGAGCCATTATTGGTTGGTTAGCATTGACACTGAACAAAAAATCACTTCTTGTTGTTGTTCTAATGGAGCTTTAAAGATTCTTGGGGGTTGTGGCCAATGGTAAAATGTTTGCCTAGCGTGCATGAGGCTTGAGTTGAATCCCCAGTACCACTAAATAATAAAAAATGCATCAAATTTACAATACATTACAGATCCTTTACAGGAGGCGGGAAGATGGCTGTCAATAAAATGTTTTCCACACAGCCCGAGGACCTGAATTTGCTCCCAGGACCCATGAGAAGAACTTGATGTGGAGGCAGAAGTTTGTGGTCCCAGGGCTGGAAGACAGACAAACAGATCCTTGGAGCTTACTGGCCGGCCAGCCTAGCCTACTTGGTAAAGTCTAGGCCAGTGAGACATTCTGGCTCAAAAAACCAAGGTGGGGGCCCGGTAGTGGTGGTAGTTACCTTTAATCCCAACACTCAGGAGGCAGAGGAGGGCAGATCTCTGAGTTCAAGGCCAGCCTGGCCTACAGAGCAAGTTCCAGGGCAGCCAGGGCTGTGCAGAGAAACCCTGTCTCAAAAAACCAAACCAACCAAACAAACAAATAAACAAAAAAACAAGGCAGATTGTTCTTGAGGGGCCCCACGTAAGGTTGACCTCTGGCCTCTATGCACAGCCTCGCACACATGTACCCACAGCCCCCAGCACAAGCACACACAAGGTTAAATGTTTTCTTTACTGGCAGTGATTCTGCTTTCTGATTGTGATTCTATGGTGATAAATCTGCCAAATGTAAAACAAGTCACTGTTGGTCACTCGGCACAGGCTGGGTGAGACAGGATCTGCAAGGAGAAATTTACCTTTTTGCCTTTTTTGCTTATTGAGTTCAAATGCTGGGTATCTCCCCCCACCACCCCCTTCTCTGTAAGTAGTAAAGTCCTTGACTTTTGGGGGGGTGGTTTTGAGTTGAGAAAGTAGACAGCAGCACTTGTGGATTATATCTCATAATAAATGTCTGACATTGATTCATGACCAACGAACTGCATCAGGCAAGAAGTACAAGGCAGCCGGGCAGTGGTGGCGCACGCCTTTAATCCCAGCACTGGAAGCAGAGGGAGGCGGATCTCTGTGAGTTCGAGGCCAGCCTGGTCTACAGAGGGAGATCCAGGACAGGCACTAAAACTACATGGAGAAACCCTGTCTCGAGAAAAAGAAGTCCCAGGCATCCCTGTGCCCTGTCTGCTCTCATCACAAGCTGGTATCCGAGGACCACGTGTGGTGGCTGTGTGGCATGCTTAAGCTCTAAAATGCTTTCTCGTTCTCGGCTTTGGTGAGGCCTGACAGTGTTAGCGTTTCTTGAAACCACTGATTTTACTTTGTTGACACTACCCCCTCTCCACTTCTCTGGGCCCTTATTTGTTTTAGTCAGCTTCTTTCCCTGGCTTCTTATCTGGAAGTGTCACCTGATGTCAGTTCAGCCTGTCCTTCTGCCGCTTACTCCACACGCTTCTGGAACTGTACTATTTAAATCGGCAGCCATCTGCTTGCAAATCTACACGAATCAGCTGCTGGACATCCGTACTTTCTCAGACTAACTTCACTAGCTGGTTCCAGTAACAGCTCGTACCAGCATCCATTCTGGCACATCAGTTCCCTCCCGATATCCATGCCAGTAATCCTACAAAGTTTTTGTTTCGTATTGTTTCGTTTTTGCCAGCAAGGAATGTACATTGCTATCTGCCCACCTCCACACAACAGCGGTCTATCCCATGAACTGCCTGGGACCAGTAGGTAATGGGTCCAATCCAAGTCTCA